AAGAGACCATCAGATATATTTAAACATTGCTGGGATATTTGATAATATTAACAAAATGGTTTATTTAAGGTGTGATAATTTGGTTATTCTTAAAGACTTATCTTTCTGAGATACATATGGCTCATGTACAGATCAATTATATGATGACTTGGATTTGCTTCAAAATAATTTTGTAATGGTTGTGGTAAGGGCAGCAGGGAGGAAAGGCATGGGAAGGGTTGAAATATAACAGACAAGTATTGATAATTGTTGAAGTTTTGTGCAGACAGAGTGTCATTGTACTACACTAGAATTTGGAATACATTAGAAATTTTCCATATTAAAAAAGTTTAAATTCCCTCTTTTAGAACTTCAACATACATTTTTCTTGATAGTCCTCCCCAAAGTTTAAAAGCAGAAGAAAGACCTATAGATTCTTTTAACCAACCAGAAACTTCTATTGCCTAGCATTTTTAGTTTTACCCTGATACATGAAGTTAACGATAGTTAGTAAGCCTAAGGCATGCTAAAACATTAAATCATGTTCAATAAAATTCTGATTTTAAAATGGATCTTGCTTTATTCTAGTCCTTTGAAAATTGACAAGCCATGGCAGGTATAATTTCCTCCTAACCAGAACACTGGACTCTCTAATTGTGTAACAGAGTTTTTCTATATCCTTAGCTAAACAAATGAGACTTTTGAGAAGAAATTTTCTTTTCTGTGTCTCTGAAATTTATGAATAGCCATGCATACATATGTACTTCAGCAAATTTTTGAGGATATCTTTGAGGTTGGGGGACTGTTTATTTTGAAATACTTATACACATAGAGTCCAATCGCTTGACAAAGAGTAATTATTTAAGATATGGCCCCAGGAACAAGATAAAATCAGAATCTATATGTGACTCCCCTCTTTCAACCCAAATCTAACCTACTTTGCTATTTATTTAAAGCATTACTATTCTGTTTGTAATCTCATGCTATAGTCTAAACACATCATTTTTAGATCTGTAATTCAGAACACAAAAAGAGTTTGTTTAGACATCATTGTAAACAAGAGAGCACTAATGGTTATGCCCTTGATTGGATTGAAGCTATGCTTCAGTGAAACCATTTGTAGGAGAATATCAGAAAACCTACTAATTTGGTTTTATGCAGATCAAACAACCAGTTAATTCATTGAACTTTTCACTTTTCTAAAGCTACAGATTGTATTTGTAATAGCTTCAAGGATAGATGACTCATCATGAGACTATTTTAATTACTCTTTGAAGCCAATATCTAGTATTTGTTCCCTGCTTCATAGAAGTTTATTCATCATTTGATTACTTCTTACCAAAAATAAAATCTGTGCCAAGCCACACACATTTTTGTTAGATCTAAAAAGAAAAGACTCTCTCTGCTTCAGTCTGTGTTCCATCTTAGTAGGTATGGATTAGATACTGGCTCCCTGGTTGATAGGCATAGAGGGACCCTGTCCCTTCGTATGACAGCAGTTATGATTGAGAGACACAGAGAATCCTTAACAACCAAGTTTTCTAGTCTACATCCTCCATTCAGACCTGTTAATTTTATAAAGTCTGAAATCTCATTTTTATTGTTCTCATTAGTAATAATCATATTCACTACAGCCAGCCTTATGCTAAGCATATCACATGTATCATATCAGTAATACCCTCACCTTTTGGGTAGGTAATATTATCATCCCCATTTTATAAGTGATGCAGCTGATGCTCAAGAAGATTAAGTAATTTACCCAAAGACCAAAGCTGGTGAACAAGTGAGTGGGCCAGGACTCACAGCCCCACATCTAACTGCAGAACCCAGCTCCTAACAATATTTCATCACCACTGGGTACCTACTCTTCATTGGACACTATTCATAACAGGATCCCTGTCTTCAACACAGCTAGAGAGCTCAGCATGGGAGCTGGGGCAAGTGGAACAGGTTTCATGAAGGAAGAATGATATGACTTCAGAGAGAAGAGGGTGGTTCCAGGCTAGAGAAATGGGATCAGGTGGAAGGGGCACCTGCACCCCAATACTTAGAGCAGCAATGTCCACAATAGCCAAAATTATGGAAAAGAGCCCAGATTTTCATGTACACTAGAATAGGTAAATATATACACAATGGAATATTACTCAGCCACCAGAAAGTAAAATTTTGCCATTTGCAGTGACATAGGTGGAACTGGAGGGTATAATGCTAAGTGAAATAAGTCAATCAAAGAAAGCCAGTTATCACCTGATTTCAAAATAAATTACACAGTACGAAGATGCTGTTCCATTTGGAAAGATTCAGGAAAGCTGATTTGCCCATGAAAGGAGTTATACATTATTTTACTTACGGCAGTTCTATATATGTGTAGGCTTTGAACAAGCATCTGCTACCTACCCTCCATCCCCTGGCAGGGATTGGAATAAGGAATATTTTTCTGGTAACAGAAATCATGAAAATGGTGACTTAGCCCAATGTCTTCACTTAGACTTGGATCTAGGCAGGGCTGGAGACTGATAGTTATTTTGTGAATTGATAGCATGTCTTTGAAAGCCCAAGGTGTGAAATTTCAAAAAACACAAAGTATACTTTCAGATAGTAGTGGATATTTTGTTCTCTCCTCCAGGGAGGACAAAGTGGGGGAGAGAACTCTCCAGTAGGTACTGGCTGAAGGCAGGGATTGAGCCTAATTCTTCTAGGTACTATTCAGAAGGGCTGCATTTCCCTTAGCTAGTTACAGCCTTTGGAGAGTCCAGGTTCAAGTCGCTTGTGGGTGTTCGGGTGAAGAGTCACAGCTTCCTTTTAAAATCTGACTTAAGTGAACTCTGGGTGATGCTCCTCCCACTGGTGGGTGGGGTGAGTGGCCAAGGAGAGTCTCAGGACCCTCCACAGTTGCCCTGGGGCTAAAGATGTTATTTTGACTCTGGTGACCCTCCTCAAACTAGAGTCACTCATGGTCATTTCCAGCCATGTCCTTGAGTTATCAGCTATGTTGACTGCACAGACTGGCAAGGGATTCCCTATTGCAGAAGCATTTTTAAAATCAGCTTCAAGAAATCTGAGTTGCCCTAACGAAAGATAAGAATCACAGAATAAATTGTCCTATTGGTGTGGAAATCTTAAAAAGTGCCAGGTTTTGGATCTTAACTGTCTAAATACATCCTTTTCTCTGCCACATTCCTTTTCTCCTCTGCACTCCTCTGGTGGTCTCTGCTTTAAATTAAAACGTAGCTTATATATCCTTTGGCCCTATCACACACAAAGGTCATTTTGAAGTTGAAAACGCATTCAAATTTTGTTCTCACACTCTTACTGAGTACCGTCAGTATCCAACTGAAGTTCTAGACAAATATATCAATTGAGAAGAAGAGGAAGAGGAAGAAAGAAGAAGGAAGAAGAAGAAGGAAGAAGAAGAAGAAGAAGAAGAAGAAGAAGAAGAAGAAGAAAGAAGGAAGAAGAAGAAGAAGAAGAAAGAAGGAAGAAGAAGAAGAAGAAGAAAGAAGGAAGAAGAAGAAGAAGAAGAAAGAAGGAAGAAGAAGAAGAAGAAGAAAGAAGGAAGAAGAAGAAGAAGAAGAAAGAAGGAAGAAGAAGAAGGAAGAAGGAAGAAGAAGAAGGAAGAAGAAGAAGGAAGAAGGAAGAAGAAGAAGGAAGAAGGAAGAAGGAAGAAGAAGAAGAAAGAAGGAAGAAGAAGAAGGAAGAAGAAGAAGAAAGAAGGAAGAAGAAGAAGGAAGAAGAAGAAGGAAGAAGGAAGAAGAAGAAGGAAGAAGAAGAAGGAAGAAGGAAGAAGAAGAAAGAAGGAAGAGAAGAAGAAAGAAGGAAGAGAAGAAGAAAGAAGGAAGAGAAGAAGAAAGAAGGAAGAGAAGAAGAAAGAAGGAAGAGAAGAAGAAAGAAGGAAGAGAAGAAGAAAGAAGGAAGAGAAGAAGAAGAAGAAGAAGAAGAAGAAGAAGAAGAAGAAGAAGAAGAAGAAGAAGGCTACCACTAAATGTGGTGAAGCAACTGGAATACTATTCAGTGATAAAAAGGACCCAACTTTGGATACAGCAACGTGAATGGATCTCTAGAATGTTATGCATTCAGCATAACCAGTCAAAAAGAGACAAAAACCAGTCTCAAAGAGATCACAGTGTGATTCTGCTTACATAGCATTTGCAAAAACAATTAAAACATAGAGCCGGGAAACATCTGTTGTCAGGGGAAGGGGGAAGGAGGCAAGTGTGGCTGTAAAGGAATCCCAGCAGGGGGATCTTCCAAGTGATGCAAGTTCTGTACCTTGGTTGTGCTGGTGGCTGCACAAACCTACGCGTGTGATCGAATGACATGGAAACGATCCATACGTTTTGTACACACATATTGTACCAACATCAAAATCTGAGTTTTGATCTTATATGAAAATCATGCCCAATGTAACCATTGGAGGAAACTGGGTGAAAGACAGAGGGGGGGGGCTCTCTGTGCCACCTTTACAACTTCTGGTGACTGTACAATCACTTCAAAATAAAAACTTTAAATATATGTAAGTCCACCACGGATAGCACGGACTCCTCTGTACTGCAAGTATAATTAAAATCAGCACCGTGACACATGCTAACAAAATATATATATATATATATATATATATATATATATATATATATTTTTTTTTTTTTTTTTAAGTGTGCTGTTTCTACACCATTGCCTCAAGAACCCAAAAAAGGAATAACACAGGGATGATGTGTTCTCGGGCCTATGATAAAATCGCTCCAGGTCTGCAGGGCTGCGACCCATTTGATGGCTTTGCAGACGCTCCCAAAGCCGGGCTGGAAACACAAATGCTCTCCGGTTAGTAGGTCCAGATCGGCTGGCGCATAGGGCCTCGGGCGCATCCCGCACGCGTGCCCACGCGCCTGCCCTTTGGGGACGATCCAGAGCCCGAGGCCACGGCCCAGGGGCCCCAGGCGCACGCAGGAAACCCTTCTTAGAGCCCCGCGGCTGCCCTGCCTCAGCCCTCCTCCTCCTCCAGGTCCTTGCCACGTCTCACTCACTCACTGGTTCCTCTGGCGAAGTCCCAGCAGAAGCCGCCAGCCTCGGAGCGCGCGGGCTGTCCCCGGGGGTCCCCGCAGGTCCCCGCAGGTCCCCACGCGCGGCCGCAGAGCAGGACGCGGGCCCCGAGCCGCCAGGCGCGGCCGGAGATGGGGATGCTGCTGGACAGCACCCGCCGCCCGCCGGGCTGGCCTCCTGGGGGATTGCCTCCTTTTTCTTTTTTTCCCCCTCTTTTTTCTTTTTCTTCTTTAACATTTTTATAGCGCCAGGAGTGTACCCGGGGTTATAGAATTATGCCAAAACAAAGAGCAAAGTCCTTGTCCGGAGGAGTATGCGGTGTAAAAGGCGCGGATGACGCAAGGCAAAATGACCGGACAAACACCCGGGTGGGTGGGGAGGAAAAGTGACCCTGAAGCGTCAGGTAGGATCAATAGGACTTTCGATGGATAGAGAAGGAAGGAAGGGGAGGAAGGAAGGAAAGAAAGGAAGGAAGGATGGGGAGGAGGGAAGGAAGGAAGGGAAGGAAGGATGGGAAGGAGGGAAAGAAAGGAAGGACAGAGGGAAGGAAGGAAAGGAAGGAAGGAAGGAAGGAAGGAAGGAAGGAAGGAAGGAAGGGAAGGAGGAAAAGGAGGGACAGAAGGAAGGAAGGGAGGGAAGGAAGGAAAGAAAGAAAGGAGGGAAGGAAGGGAAGAAAGGAGGAAAGGAAGGAGGGAAGGAAGGAAGGGAAGGGAAAGAAAGGAAGGGAAGGGGAAGAAGAGAAGGGAGGAAAGGAAGGAGAGGAAAGAAGGAAAGAAAGAAAGGAGGGAAGGAAGGGAAGAAAGGAGGAAAGGAAGGAGGGAAGGAAGGAAGGGAAGGGAAAGAAAGGAAGGGAAGGGGAAGAAGGGAAGGGAGGAAAGGAAGGAGAAGAAGGAGGTAAGGAAGGAAAGGAAGGAGGGAAGGAGGAAAAGGAGGGACAGAAGGAAGGAAGAGAAGGTAGGAAGGGAGGGAAGGAAGGAAGGAGGGAAGGAAGGGAAGGAAGGAACGAGGGAAGGAAGGGAAGAAAGGGGGAAGGGAAGGAAGGGAAGAAGAAAGGAATGGAAGGAAGGAGGAAATGAAGGAGGGAAGGAAGGAAGGGAAGGGAAAGAAAAGAAGGAAGGGAAAAAGGGAAGGGAAGGGGAAGAAGGGAAGGGAGGAAAGGAAGGAGAGGAAGGGAAGGGAAGGAAGGGAAGGGAAGGGAAGGCGGAGAAGGAAGGAAAGAAAAAAAATGGAAAAGCCAAATCAGAGCCTTAACTGCTTTGTGAAAAATATAAATAAGGATATGCAATAAAAGCAATAGGAATAGGAACATTTTTGAGAGTTTATTACGTTCCATTGATATCACGCCAATTTTATAAGGTAGGCATTCGTATTGCATCTAATTGGAAAACAAGACTCTTTTAACTGTTTAAGAAACACCCCTAATGCTCTCCATGAGCCATATATAATTCCATTTTATCCTCAAAAAAATGCTCATGAAGTAGGAAATGTGTCCCTCATTTTATAGCTGAAGAGAATGAAGCACTCAGGTTAGGTAACTAGCTCTATCTGGATCACTCGGGTAGAAAGCGGGGGACCCAAATTGGAGGCCTGGAAGTCCCACCCAGTGAGAGAGCCAAGATCGGGACCCAGGAAGCCCAACTGTGTGGCACAGGGATTCGTATCCACACACCCTGATTCCCCAGCCCGCATGCTTAGTTGTGTGCAATAATGCACACTGGATAAACAATTTAATTGAAAAATATTTGTATTGACTGCCGGTAGTGCATAAATTCACTTTGCCGAGGCCTTAAATATTGCAGTGAAAACACGCTTAACTGAAGAATAAACACTATTATAAAAAACACAATAGGCACTCCTTCCTTCATTCACTCAGCAAACATGCGTGAGTATCTGTTTGCACCAGGCACTGTGTGTGGCACCATGGAGACGGGAGTGACCAAAGAGGGAAAAAGGAGAGAAAGCAAGGGAACTGGAGATGGTGTGCATTTTAATGATGGATACACACTAGATTTATCAAAAGAAATAGGGGCAAATAGCCAACAGGAAGGGAACATTTCAATCTTCTTATACAGGGAATGACGTTATTCTGGCCTGGACTGTCCTTTGTGAGTATTATTTATCTCTTTTTTCATTTCCTCTCTTCTGTTTCCTTCATTTTTGTTTTGACAGAGGAAAACACCAGAGAACCTCTATTATAGACATTCGTTAACATTTCAAATAATGCTTTGGGTGTCCGAGTGATGACATTAACAGTAATGGTTGTCCCACATTGAGTGCTCACTATGAATCAGGCATTAGTCTGAGTATTTTACATGTGTTAACTCATTTAATCCTCATAATAATCCCATGAGACAGGAGCCAGTATGATCTCAATTTTATAGCTGAAGACAATGAAGCTCAAAAAAGATTTAAAAACTTGCCCAAGGATGTAACGCTAAAAAGTGGAGGATTTAGTGTATTAACTGAAATTAGGTTTTGGATTATTTGTGGATTTCATTTACCGTTCGGATTCCCTTCCAAATAACAGTTTAACTACGAGAGTATTTTACAAGTGTGGAAATAGTGAAGAGGCATGCAGACCTCTGAGCCTGGGATGGAAAACTGGTATAAAAGATCTCTAAAAAAAAAAAAAAACAAGAGACTCTGGGAATTGCATTTTCCAAGTCTGTTATCAAAAGCCAGAATCTTAACTGGCATAAACATCTACTTTGGAGCTAAGAGGTTGACATCATTACTGTCACTCCATGCCCTATCTCACTTCATTTTTTTTAAATGCTTTTTTCCTTCCAGACTCTTCTGTAACACACTAAAATAAACAAAGCCACTAAAAACTAAAATAAGGAGAGAAATTCTCCCCAGCTACCCCTCCCTAACCAGAAAAACACAGAAAAGCATTTGTTTGGGAATATTTTTTTGTGATTGTGTCAATTGTATCTTTGTTAAAATAAAATATCCCCCTTGAGAATGAGAAAAATAATTTGATTTTCCCAAACAGAGGACAGCCAAGTCTACTCTTTCCATTTGAGTGCAGAGTTTAAAACCCTAACGTTATAAAGAGTCTGAAACACTAAAGTTCTCTAATAGAGGAGTGCATAATAGAATGATGAAATAATAAAAGGTGCTAATTTCTGTATTCAGTCATTGTGTTCCTCCTTAGCACAGGTCACTTCTGAAATTCAAGGGTGGGCCAGAGCTTTGGGAGCCTCACGGAGAGGCTGGCAAGGACCTTCCAGACCACACCTCCCTCCCAACCTCCTCTCATGGGAGTTCCACTTCCCACTACTGAACTCCTAAATTCCCAGAGTGGCTCCCACTTTCTCCTTCCTCCTTTCTCCAGGTCTCTGTTGAATTCTCTCCCAGTTTGTTCACTTCTTTGCCTGGCTGACTTTTATTTCTGCTTCATTACCAAGTCTCGAAATGTTCTCTGACCCCTTCCCAAGCCAGCTTCAGGGGCTCAAATCTGAATTTTTTTGGGCCCTCAACATGCTGTTAGTACAACCATTTGCTTGCTTATTCTTTCCTCCTCTAGACTGATTCATTTATTCAACAAATGTTTCTTGGGCACCTAGTATTTGCCCAGGACTGCGGTAGGTATTAGGGAAACAGGGATAAAAGACACTCCCTAACAGGGTTCCTGGAAGATAATGATACTCAGTGATTGTTTGGGGAATGAACGAATGGAATTAGGTCATTACAAAAATAGAAGGAAGACCAGAGGAAGATGAGCAGTCACAGGGAAGACATTTGGCAGTTCCATTCCTCCCATTGGGCACATCCTACCGTGTTGTGTAACATCTCCGTAAGCCTCCTTCCTCCTTAAGTTTTTGTTTTCCTAGTTAACTTTCATTCTGCCAGCTCTATTGGAAGCAGGAGCTCTGGCATAGAAGGGGCTTAAAGCTCTGATGCCAGCACTGTCATTTACTAGCTGGGTGACCCTTGTCTCTTTCCTTAGTTTCTATGTGCTTCAATTTCCATTTATTTATTTATTTATTTATTTATTTATTTATTTATTTATTTATTTATTTATTTATTTAATGATAGTCACACACAGAGAGAGAGAGAGAGAGAGAGAGGCAGAGACACAGACAAAGGGAGAAGCAGGCTCCATGCACCGGGAGCCCGATGTGGGATTCGATCCCAGGTCTCCAGGATTGCGCCCTGGGCCAAAGGCAGGCGCCAAACTGCTGCGCCACCCAGGGATCCCAATTTCCTCCTCTTTAAAATGGAGATAACAAACACCTATAACAAGGAGGAGTGTGTGAATTCGTAGAGAGTTCTCTCCTTTCTATGTCTCTCCCCTACTCCCACCCCATACCCTTCCTACAAGATGTCACCAGGGCAGCAGGGGCATGCAAGATGACTTCAGGTGATATATGAAGTACATTTTAAAAGACCATATTATTTTGATACATCTAAAAATACCTAAGTGGCCATAAACCCCATTAAACCTTTGTGGGCTTTTTTTTTTTTTAATCATTGCTTCAGGTATGTTAAAATTAAAAAAGAAAAAAAAAGGCTTATTTTAAAAAAAATAGTTGGAAATTATCAGTAAGTCAGTACAAAGGAGAAGGAGGAAGAGAAAGGAAAAGACTCCTGAAAAACACTGAGGAAACAAACAAGGGCAATGACATGAAAGAAGAAAATCATTTAACCAGAAGTCTGCATCTGATCTATTTATTATGCTTGGCCTGAGGATTCGATAAACCGATGGGTAACCATAGGCATATTATGCATTTCCCAAATGTCACTTATTGAAAAAATCTAGTTCTGGGGCTGTGGGGATTCAGCCTATAGCTAAATGACCATGTGTTGGCTTTCTTAGCATAGGATTAGTCTGTCACAGGCCAAACGGTCAGCTTTGGCTCCCGAAAAGTCACCTGTCCAGTTCTGCCTCTGATGAAATACAAAGTGAAAGAGAATTGTTCATTTAGATTTAAGAATAACTAATGACCACGTAGGGCTTCCAGAGACCGTCTGTGTTCCTCATCCTGTCTATGTCTCTGTCCTGCTCTGTAAAATGAGTATAATAATAGAATCTGTCCCATGACAGATGAGGTTCTTATGAGGATTTAACATAAAAGAAATGTAATAATTGATATATATGTGTGACTGTTACCATTAATCGAGTGCGGACTAGCCTCCTCGGAGCACCCAGCACTACATACTCTGACGGAAGAGCTCATCTACCCCCGC